ATTCCGCGTACTTCATCAGCATCAGAAAATCTTTGTACAGATAAGGAGAGAGCTGTGCCGGGCAGACGTTGTAAAACCAGCAAAATTCCTCCGCTAGTGGAAGAAGAGGAAGAGTATAACCGGTCAAGAACGGGTAGACATAAAAGGCATAATACCTGGGCCGATGGACCTCTACAATATCGCCACCAGCCGGAACTATCTCGACGTGAGGGGGGAGCGGGCTCAACTATATGAGACGGACCAGTCTCGGAGATCACCTGAGCGGGAGCGGGTTCCTTGAGAAAATCATTTATGGACAAAGGATTTTTGGGAACTATCTCCTCTGCGGTAGGAAAACTCTCATCCTCTTCATCCATAAATGCCTCACCACCGGAAGGAGGAGCCACCGATAACGGAGTGGCATCAGAAACTTCATCATGAATTCGAAGAGTTTGTGACATGTTTTCGACAATGAAATATATACTACCAAACCCAAAAAAGAGGATAACAACTAGGTAAGGAGGAGAGAAATGGAATCAGAAAAGCGAAACCAGAGGCAGAGACTAGCAGAGAAGATCAAAGAAAAATGGAGTTCATGCAAGGAACAGGGTGGGAAAACTTCTGAAAAAATAAAATGCCCACCTATTTATAAGGGCTGGGTGGTGCGAGAGTCGAAGCAAAGGATTGTCAGCGGCACTAAAACCAAAACGGCAGGCACGTAGACACAGTCTCGGGAAGATGCGTAATGATGACGCGCGTGGCTATGATGTCACCCCAATGTAGCCACACCAATCACGACTTCACTAGGTGTGCATTCTCTCCACCTCGGTCGACCTGACTTATTCAACACAACTAAATTCCTCCGAAACGGAGGCAAATCAGGTCCGTTTATTGAGGGCGTACGGGACCACGACCTCAACAAGCGGAGGGACTAACTGTATTTGTCAAAATTTGGCGACTTGGAAATAGTGGATAAGCCAGACCGCGGACGGGGTCGACCACGGTGTGATAATTGAAGGCTGCTCTCGAGAAAACTGATGCCAAAGACGGGCAGCTGAGATGAAGGAATAACGGTAGCATAGTTTCAGATATGGATATAAGGAATATTCCCTTGAATATTCCTTATTTTGTACTTTTTATGATTTTTGAGAAATATCCCTTATAAATAGGAAGAGATAGAGAACAAAAGGGGGATCTTAACTTTATGAGAAGAAAAATACTCTGTAAAAGGTTGACCTGAAAGAATGTACTAAAATTGTCTTGTTCATTGATTATATTATTCCAACATACATTTTCGGTTCTATGCTCACATGATCCAAAGATCCCTGAACCTTCTTTGATTCCCTTCTTTCCAAACTATTGTCAGGGGAAAGAGCCATCCGAATCTTACAATAATTGGGTAGTAAATTCCTTGTTGTTATGCTAGTTGCATTTATTTATATTTATTGTACATTTATGTTGTTGCATTTATGAGCATTTAATCAGCTCAAACACATTAGCTAATGTCATTCATCTTGCCTACTTCATCTAACATTTGATCTAGATTTTATTATTCTTAACTAAGATTCACCCTCTTCTCATCATTAATTGGTTTAATCAAAAGGCTTAACATTTTTTGGTCAAACACAAGTAAGATGTGGTTTAACAAATAAGAGAAAGGTGCTAGGATTGCTTCCCTTTCGTGTATGCTATGCTTTTGGGTATACAAATGTTCAATTCTAGTTAATTAAGCATGTGTTATGACCTCAATTTCTGTTCTACCAACTTAATGTCTTCCATCACTTAGGTTTCTACCCCAAGCTGCTCATCCAAGACAACTAAGGGTCAATTATAAGCAATTGATTAACCTAGGTAGAAATCACACTATTCTTAGCTAGATTTCATTAATCGAGTGGTTAACCTACTTAATTCTTTGCTAATTACTTTGTACCTAAGCTAAATTTCACTTTTCCAAGATAGAACAAGCAAAATAGGCATGCATTTAGTGTTTGCAACCACAAAATCAATCAATAAAGCAATGAGTAATTAAATATCACAAAGCTTAATCAAACCTAGAATTTATATTAATAACCCAACAATATAACTACTCTTAAGGTTCACAATCCTAGCTTAATAAGCTTAGTTAGACATATTAAGGAAGAAAAATACAAAAAGAGATGAAAATCTAAACATAATAGCTAAAGATGAAAGAAAGATCGAGTAGACTAATGGTAAAGCCACCCAAAATTCCAAAGAAGAAATCCCAAAAGCTGCTACAGAAGTATTCTTGCCAAAAAGATACCCTAGATTGACCTAAAATAACTATTTATACTAAGTCCCAAAAGTGGACAAAATTGCCCTTCGATTTATTGCGTAGGTTGGATGCATAGGCGTAGGCTAACTGTGTAGCCTACGCAAGCTTGAACACTTCAGATTTTCTTCTGCGTAGGATATTTGCGTAGCCTACACAACCCGCGTAGGCAAAAACAGAATATCCTTAAAGCTTCGCTTCTCAAGTTCTTTCTCTGTGTAGCCTACGCAAGGCTACGTAGAGTCTTCAGCTCAAACTTCAACTTTACTTCTATTTTTCACTTGGACTTGGTCTTTTCTTGATATTTTTGATTTCTTTCCATTTTTTAAGCGTACTCAAAGCTTCATTATCTGAAATCGAGCCATTCAAAGCATAATTAGTCCTTTTTCCTCCAATAAATAAAACATAAAATCCATAAAAACACAAGAGACTTTGGCTAAAAGCCAACTTATCAATTATACGTATATCATTTGAGATTCGACTTGCAACACATATCATTTCTTGTATTAAATATTATGCGAGTGTTCTTATTTTTATATTTTTGTTGTATTATGGTCTACTTCTTTCATGCCACTCAATCATTTAATTTAAGGCTCAACATGAAGAGTAATACTATAAATGAGAAAAATATTAAATATTAGAAAGTAAAATTAAAAGTCATTTCTGTTATAGCTTTTATTGTCCAAGATATGTACAATACCTTTAGAGCCTGTTTGGAAAGCTACATAGGAATTGGATTTGGATGTAATTATACAGTTTGACATGTTTGTTCGGCCAAGTTATTACTTGGTCAGCATGGAATTGGATGTAATTGGAGAGGTGTAATTACACTCTCCAATTCTGAGAATTGGCGGTAATTACACTGTGTAATTAAAATGTTACATTTTATTTTTTTTCCTTTTTGTTTATTTTTTTAAATTTATTTTCTTCACAACTTTTTAATTCCACTATTTTAATTTCTTTTTATTTTAGCCTTTTAATTTTAAAATAATTTTTTCTTTGTACATGTGGAGGTCGAGCATTAGGATGGTAGGCTAGGGGGGTGTCGTAGAGTTCTCCTCTTTCGTACCAGGTAATCGTGTTAGAGTTTTTGTTAGGTTTGTTTAGCGGTCGTTTGTTNTTTCTGGTATCTTTTATTGTTACATGTCTTTTCGCTTATTTCTTTTCTGATATTATTGCCTTTCCTGTTGAGCCGAGAGTCTCCTGGAAACAGCCTCTCTGCCCTTTTCGGGGTAGGGGTAAGGTCGTACACTCAACTCCCCCTAGACCCCACTAGTGGGATTTTACTGGGTATGTTGTTGTTGTTGTTGTTGTTGTTGTCTTTGTACACGATTTATCTTTTATTTCTCTATTTTTACTTCTTGTGATTCCATGTAATTGATCGTATATTTTATTTCTTATTTGTTTTATTTTTTTCATTAGCGTAACTGTGTTATTATTTTAGTTTTTGAAACTACACCTCCTAATATTAGAAATAATGAGTCGTTAACAAACTTGGCATATAATGAGTGATATCATTAAAGTAGAATTTTATTGTTGAATGATGTTATAAACTTATTATGTTTCCTAATTTTAAGTTGTATTGGAATTTGACATATGTTAAATATTATTTTTTAAAATTGTGTTATATTTATGGTTCCAATTTACTTGTTTTAGTAGTATTGGCTTGTTATTTCACATTGCATATTGTTCATTTTTTAGTTAGAGTTGATAGACTAGTTTTGTCAAACATTTGAACAATGTTATGACATTATGTTTATAAATATTAATTTATTTTATCAAACGTGCATTCCATGATGTTTTTACAAAATGTATGTTTTTTTATTTTTATAAATAATTAAACTAAATATTATTAATTTGAAAAATATGTATCAGTTGTTTTTACAATATTAGTTATAAAAATATATGATTACTGATTAATGTATATTTAAGAAAAAATATGCATCTTATATACCAAATTTAATATCATTTATACTTACAAAAAATCGTTTATAGGCATATATATATATATATATATATATATATATATATATATATATATATATATATTATATTAACTCTTAAGTTTTGATAATTACTTCATTTAAAATTTAATCTAACTGTGTAATTAGACTTGTGAACAGTACGCATAATTACGTTATGACAAACAAATAGGTCGCCGTAATTACTAGGATGTGTAATTACACCAATTTCAATTAGATGGCTTTCCAAACAGACCCTTATAGTATAGTATATTCTACATAATTAGGCAACACTTTTCGTTTTATTAGATGATTCCAGTCATTTATTTTTATAAGTTTGAAAAACTATTTGAAAAAGCATGAATCATATAGTACATTCATAATACAATCACAATGAAATAAGAATATAATTTTACCACAAAATATAAGTTAAAAATAAGTCACAAAGGTTAAAATTCTCTACTCGTAAACTAATACTATAAGCTTGTTTTGCCAAGCTTTCGTGTCATCTTTTCATAATTTAAACATTCAAAAATATTTTTTGAGAAAATCAGCCAAACACGAATCGCTTAACTAACATCCAAAATTGTTTTATAAATGAATTGATGAACATAAACTGCTATCTTCCAAAGTAAATTTATGAAAAGTTATTTTTTCCAAAAGTGGTTTCAAAATAAGTATATTTTGAACGTTTGGTAAGTTATTTTAACTCCCGTAAAGAGAAAATTGACGTAAATTTGTAATTATACTCTATTATTTTTATCTCTCTTTTCCTCTCGTAGGGGTTTTAGCATCTAAATAAACTACTGTTCTAAACCCCTGAACTGAAGTCCCCAAATTATCAGCTGCCAATACAAGTTGTAGGGTTTGCCCCAAATATTCATTCTGTAATTCATTTACATCCCCTCTATTTTATTTCCTTGTTAACTTCAGGTCCTATTTTCCTCTGCAACCTAACACTCATAGCTTCATTCTCCGCAGTTTAGGGTTATGGAAAAAGATGCATCTTTTTTGTTTGGCGGCATCACTTTCAATCGTAAAAAGTTTGGCACTGATTTTGACAGGTTTAAGGTAATTTTCGTCCTAAATACTCGAATAAAAGAGCTAATTTTTTGTTACATATGATTCTGCAATTGTCGGTTTGAGTTTTTGTTGATTTTACATTGCATAAAGTTCTTATTTTGACTGTGTGTTTTAAGAGAATAAAAGGAATTCCGAGTTCCTCTTAAGTGTGTCTATGTAGCAATAGCATTTGCATATTTGTTGTTTCAGTTTTATTTTTTGGGAGCTTAATTATTTCTTATTGTGTATGTCTGTGGGTCATAGTGTGCCTCTGTTATGTTTTGCAAATGAAGATTTCTTTTATATTTAAAATAGGGGCATAAAACAAGTGACAACTCATTAGAGAAGCTGGAGTTAGTTGAGAATGAAAAATCCGAAATGGAAGATGAGACAAATACCTGTGTTGGTAAGAAGAGGAAGAGAAAGGAGAAGGGAACAGTTCCTGGTAATTTTCTTTTTTGTCATCTATTTGAGCTTCTTATTTATTTCTTTGTTCCCAGTATAGATAGAGTACTAAAGTTTGCTGCTTTGCCTTTTGTCCTAATTCGTGGCATTGGTTTTAGACTCAGTGGACGGATTCTCCGTTTTCAAGAATTCGAAATTGAAAAAGGAAGCTGCCAGCGAAGAGAATGATCAATCTGCAAATGAACTGCTTGAGGGAAAAAAAGAATATCATCGGCAATTGGAGGTTTGTCTCGTTTGCTCCCTATTTTGTTACAGTGGCAGTTGGTAGGAAGTTGTTTTGTTGTGTTCGTGAATTACTAAGAACTTTTATTGAAGAGATATATTTCTTTTGTTCCTATGATTTTGTTGGATTCAGAGGGATGCACTTTTCCGGAAGTTACACGGCATTCATGTTTCTGGAAGTAATGTCCCTTCGCCATTGCACAGTTTTGCAGAATTAAGATCAAGGTACTCTGTCACGCTTTTTGTTGATTTTTAGTTTGGAGACACTTAGGGGTCTTTTGGTAGGAGGTATTAGAAAAAATAATGCAAGCATTAGCTCTATGCATTACTAATACCTTATTTGGTACATCTTTTCAACCTGTGAATAACTAATACTTGTATTAGTTATACATCATACTTGGTATTATCCTACGTATAAGTAATGCATAGAAAACCATGGCATTAATAATACCAAGGCTATTAATGCATGCATTAGTATGATTAAAGACAAAATTGTCCTTAAAGTCCCTTAAAGCTAGAGAATATGGACGGCATATTTTTAAACAACTATTTTTTTTTAAAAATTATGCAAGGCATTATAATTTTGATACACCACACCAAACAATAGATAAGAAATAATATCTGCATAACTAATGCTTGCATTACTAACCCATGCATTACTAATCCATGCATTACTAATACACCTTTTTCCGCACTATTCTTATACACCCTACCAAACGACCCCTTAATCCCACCATCATTGTTGCTCTTGATGGTCTCAAATATCACTATGGTCAAATATTTCAGATGCTTACAGTAGGATATCTAATCGTGGAACACTTCGTTCAAGTTAAGGAAGTTACATTTAGTGAAACACCCAACAAAGCCTTAGTCCATTCATTTTGGTTGACACTTTCTATTTCTCCTTCAATTTAATTTTATGTGAGTTAAAGCATTTTGTTGTGATGTGTGTAAAGCAAGAATACGATGTGACAGGATGTTGATGAACATTTTAAGCTCATTGATCTTTGCATGCGAAATAAAGTAGGCTAATGAAGATTTTGCTGTTTCTCCTGCAATTATGGTATCTGTTCTTCTCCATTCCAATTTTGTTCTCATTTTGCCTGGGGAATGGTTGGGGAAGAGGGCTCAATTTGGAAGGCTCATCTTAAAGAGCATACATAGCAGGAGTTTTTGAAATATATCATGCATGATTAGATGATTTTATTCTCAAGGGCTACTCTTATTTCGTCATGTCATCTTTACCTGTGTACTGTGCTTTTTTGGGGGAATAGACCATTGGTGATAAAATGAGGTATAATTCTGCAATTCTGGAATTGAACCTCTTTCCTAACTCTCCTTTCGGAGTATCCTTCTTTGTTTCACATTCTGTTTCATGAGAGACAACAACAATTGCAACAAATCCGGTATAATCCCACAAGTGGGGTCTGGGGAGGGTAGTGTGTATGCATACCTTAACCATACCTTGAGAAGGTAGAGGCCGTTTCCGATAGACCCTCGGCTCAAGGAAGATAAAAAGAAAGCAGTAGCAACAAGCAGTAACAATAACAAAATAATAAGAAAATGAAGCGAAAGAAACATGTAGTAATAGAATCTAAGAAGGGAAAAGGTCCAAACTCCAAAATTGCCCCTGTACTATGGTATATTGTTTAATTCTGCCACGCGTTATACTTTTCGTCCAAATCTATCCCTACCGTTAATCAACTTTTAAAAATTGCCCCTAACCCTAACAGATCTCCACCGTGGCAGCTGACCCCCTCAATTTTTCTATGTTAGCTGCCAAGTCACTTGACCCTAACTCTCTCTCATTTTTCAAGACCTCACAGCCACATTCCCCCATCTTTGTGAGACTCTCGTCTCCTTCTCTGAGCAACAGCAATCGTTTCCCCACTTCTCTTCACCGCCCGCCACCGGATTTGACGATAATTTTTTTGGACCATTTGATCAATTTTTTTCTCTTACCCGCTCCCTTATTTAATGGGGATAAAAGCATTAGCCAAACATATGATTCAAAAAACTATTGGGTTTGAATTTCGACAAATGGAAGATTGAGAAAAGTAAGATTTTTGAGGTCACAAATGGAACTTGGAATTTCGACAGTGATGTTTTTTTCTTGAAGTATTATTCCGGTCACTTCTCCATCATCGGAGCACTCAATTTCCGGCCAATCACACGGCGAGGAAGTAGAGTTCCATGAGCTTGAGTGATAATGGGTTTCTCCATTGACGCTTTATCTTCAGTAGAATATCACGTTCATTATTGGTGGCCGGAGATTGTGAATATACCAAAATGGGTATGAAGTTTAGTAGCAGTATGAACTGCATTCCGGTGAACAATCCGGTGATCATGGTGGTCGGAAAAAATGAAGGGGGGGGGGGGGTTATGAGTTGATTTTTGAGTCTTTGGTCAATATTGGAGTGTGAACAAAAAGACAATTCCACAAAATTTAATACTATATAGATATGGTATAAGAACAGAGCATCATTAAATTGAATAAAATAATAACTACTGTAAGTGGGAGAGTAAAGTAATGATTCTAATGAAGCTTCCACTGAGCTGCCTAACGCACAAAAAGCTTCGAGATTTTGGGTCCCTTTTTTGTTATTTTTAAAAGATGGGGGCTGTGAGGTCTTGAAAAATGAGAGAGAGTTAGGGTCAAGTGACTTGGAGCTGACATGGCAGCTGATATGGAGAAAATTGAGGGGGTCAGTTGCCACGGTGGAGATCCGTTAGGGTTAGGGGCAATTTTTAAAAGTTGATTAACGGTAGGGATAGATTTGGACGAAAAGTATAACGGGTGGCAGAAGTAAACAATATACCATAGTACAGGGGCAATTTTGGACCTTTTCCCGTCTAAGAATAATAGAATACAAGAATGCTCGACTATCTACTAACCCTATACACAAAATTTGTTGTGATGAGCAAGTTGCTTTCTCTGTGTTTATCAGTCTATTTGTTGTTGCCTGCACTTGACTTTCCCTCTGTCCTCTCTTTTACCAATGTTCTGTTTGTATATGGTTATACAGATATAAATGTCGATTATATCTATTACGCAACCTGGCAGAACTGGGATTTAAAGAACCAACACCAATCCAAAGACAGGCTATTCCAGTCCTCTTATCTGTATGATCTTCCTTGATTCCGCCACTATATATATCTTTCTTGTTTTTCCTTTAACAGTCTTTTATCATGTTTGACTTTCATAAGGGACGGGAATGCTTTGCTTGTGCACCTACCGGTTCTGGAAAAACATTTGCTTTTGTCTTTCCAATACTTGTGAAACTCAAGGTATATATATTGGCATTGTTATGATATTTTGTGATCAATATCATTTTCTATGAGAAGTTGTTGGACATCTGACAGCCATCTTTCTTGATCAGGATACTTCAAATGATGGTGTCCGAGCTGTAATTATTTCCCCTACAAAAGAGTTAGCTGCTCAGACTACAAGAGAATGCAGAAAGTTGGCTAAAGGGAAGAAGTTCTACATCAGGTTGATGACTAAAAAGCTCGCTAAAAGTGGAGACTTTTCTAAATTGCGATGTGATATACTCATCTCGACACCATTGCGCTTACAGTTTGCTATCCGCAAAGGAAAGCTTGATTTAAGTAGGTATGTTCCTCTCTGATAAAAAAGTAGGTATGTTCCTTATTTTCTAGTGGTCAAACTCCCATGTGCTAGTGTCGGCATTTCAAAGTTTAATCTTCTTGATATTAGATCAGTCTGGAGTCTTGTTAAATAAGATTCTAGAGGGCGATGAAATGGTAGATCCCAGGATGAATGCATAATTTGAACTGTAATTCATAATAAAAACCAATTGGTGAAGCTCAGGGTCTAGTGTAGATATGCAAGGATTTCAAAGATTTTCTCTTTGTTTTACTACTATATTTGCACAATCACACTGAGATTTGAATATTTGCATGCCGAATTAGATGTAGAGGAGTATATGCCTTGGCTTTTACTGTGTAGACATATAAAATGTTGCTATTTAGAATTTGGTGCTAAATATAGTCCATTTTTAATCAGCATTAGTATGCCTTTTCACCAACTCCTTTTGGGTGCAGGGTTGAATTTCTTGTCTTAGATGAATCTGATAAGCTTTTTGAGCCTGGCTTGCTAGAGCAGGTTGATTTTGTGGTGAATGCGTGCACAAATCCTTCAATTCTTCGGTCGTTGTTCAGTGCTACGTTACCTGATATAGTTGAAGACAGAGCGCGTACAATAATGCATGATGCTGTTCGAGTCATTATTGGTAGGAAGTAAGTACTAATAGGCTTTTGGCAGATGTATTTAAAACTGCAGTGAAGTGAACGATTATTTTGGGCTGTTTGTACACTTTTTTTCTGTTGTTTCTTGGTGAAGAAGAAGAAGAAAAATCGTCTGCCTCTTCCGTCCTTTCTCTCCTATTTCTGTCTCTCTGTGTTGGCGAATGCTTACTTGGTGGCTTTGCATTTCTGCAGAAATTCTGCTTCAGAAACAATAAAGCAAAAGTTGGTATTCGTTGGGAGTGAAGAAGGAAAACTTCTAGCTCTTCGTCAAAGCTTTGCAGAGGTATGATCCTCATTTTGCTTAGTTATCTGAATTGGTTGTATACCTCTTTTGCAGTGATTGAAGGTCGCCTCCACCATAATTATAACTTACAACAACCCAGTGGGATCCCACAAGTGGGGTCTAGGGAGAGTAATGTGTACGCAGACCTTACACCTACGCTGGAGGAAAGACCCTCGGCTCGAGAGGAAGAATAGGAACAAGTAAATAACAACAACAAGGCCAGGACCATAATTATAACTTGCACAACAAATTTTACATGAGTGATTTGCATATGGATATTACGTTTGCTGTCTAATTATCACATTTGAAGTACTCTAGTATATTGTGCGGTCATTATGTGCCTCTCTGTCTTTTCATGATTTTTTCCCCTGCTGATTTGATCTTTACATTCCCAGAAGATGGGCGCTAACTGACACGACTTGGTTTGCAGCCATAGTTTTGCTGAATATTTTGAGGATCTCAATGTTTGATGATTTGTACATTTTTCTTTCCTTTTCCTCACACTATATGAAACTCTTTCTTTCTTTGCTGCTTTTAGATTACCATTCTGCTACCATCTACTGTTATGTAAGCGAGTCATTTTTTCGTTTGATAGGAAAAGGATTATTATTACCTTAAAAGGAATAACATCCCCGTATACACGAGTTATACACTAAAAAGGCCTAAAAATTGTATTGCTTAAAACAAAGTTCATCCAGTTGTCTATATGACGCGGTATGCTATGTCTGCTCAAAAAACATAAAGTTTAAAAAGAGTGTTGGATTACCGCAGCTGGATCTAGGAATACAGCTCTTGACTTTGGCAGGGAGTTTTAGAAAGATGTGAAAAGAGGTTGGCAAGGTGAAAAGTTTATTTTTTCTTTTTTTTTTTTGGGGGGGGGGGGGGGTTGGTGTTGTGGGATTATACTGGGTTGGTTGTTGTTGTTGTTGGGGTTGGTGCTGATAAACAGTGTCCTTGATGCCCTTCCCACATGTGTGATGTCCTTATTTCCCTTAACAAAGTGGAGAAGAGGTTGGACAAACTAAGAAGGGATTTTCTTTGGCAGGGCGAGAGATGATAGAACTTCCCATTTTGTGAAATGGAATTCATTCACACTTAACAAGAAGGAAGGGGTTTTAGGAATCAGAAATTTAAGACAATATAACTGCACCTTAATGATGAAACAGTCGTGGAGATTCACTTCAGAAGAACATGCACTATGGAAGGAAGTAATCAGTGTAAAGTATGGGTCTCAAGGTTTTTGGACTAAGAAAGTAATGACTACAGCATATCCGGGTGGGTTTATGGAGTATTAGAGATTTTTGGCAAAACTTTGTCGGTAATATTGGATTTGTAGTGGGTGATGGAAGAGGATTGCTTTTTGGGATGATAACTGGGTTGGGTATGCTCCCTTAAAAGATGTATTCCCTGATCTATTCAGACTTACTGTTTTACCCCATCCGGAGCTGCCGTAACTTGGGCTCATCATGCCATATCACGGGGAAGGAAAAATGAGCAGTTTACGCTTTAGTACTGGTGCTATTGTGGCCTTGGGGAAGAATATGGAAAACAAATACCCCTTACATTTGTGGAAAAGAATCTGAGAATAATGTCAATCATCCATCTTGCATTGTCATGTTACCGATCAATTGTCGCAGCTGTTCCTTAATATGCTGGGGCTTAAATGGAATATGCCTAGAGATACTGTGAAATTTTGAAGAGATGGAACATTAAAGGAAGGAGAAGCAGAAGGACTGGTGGTATACTATTCTTGCATGTATAAGGTGAACTATTTGGAGAGAGAAATGACAGATGCTTTGAAAACAAAGGGAAAAATTTATTCAGAAGCACTTTTTGTGTAAACAGAACTTTGTAAACATAGCTGAAGCAAATGATAGATCTTATAGAATCCCTTTAAGAATAGGAAGGGATTCACCTTAGAATTCTCTGTAAACTTATGAACAGTACCTTCTTGGTGCTTCTTCTTTTTCTTCCTTTTTTTTTTTGTAATGATAATTTTATTAAAGAATAGCACCCAGAGAGTGCAATGAATAAGTAGTATAACCCCAACAAAATGCATCTTGGTGCACTATCTACATGTGAAAAGAACTGAGGAAATTAACCATCCTATCTACTTGTACATTTTCATTTTTACACCAAAAAGCTAAGAGAGCTAAACATATATGTTTTAAGGTACAAATATTTTCTTTTGGCCTATAAAGTACCTTTATAATACACTTAGGGGTCGTTTGGTTGCCGGTTAGAGTTATGCAGGTATTAGTTATACATGTATTAGTTATGCAGGGATTAGTTATGCAGGGATAAGTAATGCAGGGATTAGTTATGCAGGTATTAGTTATGCAGAGATTATTTTTTTGAATGTTTGGTTTGTTGTATTAGAAATTGATATACATTATATAAATTTTAAAGTAAAATGCTTGTTTACAACTATACCCCTGGCCTTCTTTTGCATTGTTTTTTCTCTCTTTCCATTTATGTAGGAAACAATTTAGTTAGGAACTTTGGGTGTTACTTTCACTTCTTCGTCATACTACTGAACTATGTGAAGTTTAGACATATTTGATTTTCACTTCTTAGTTTTGGTGTTTCCATTTTCTAGTGGCTTCTCCAGTTTGCTTTTGCTAGTTTGTTCTTTAAAAATGAGAGAAGACAAGGTATATAGTTGGCAACTGAAAGCAAGTGAAACCTGTTGACGGGTTGGCAGAGAAATAAGGAAGCCTTATGTGTAAAGTGATAGGGGTAAATTTGTCATTTCAGTATTTTATCCATGTATTACTAATACATGTATTAGTTATTCCATCTTCTACCCCGCATAAAATAATACACAGATTGACTCATAACTTATACATATATTATTTATGCATAATTGAAAAATGTCAACCAAACATGGTATTAGTTATGCAGAATTTTATACAAAATAACTATTGCCTACCAAACATGGTATAAGTTATGTTACCCCTTATACATGAATAACCTTTCTTCTAACCAGCTACCAAACGACCTCTTACTATTCTCAAAAAGAAAAAGTGTTGGATTTGTGTATAAACTGTCAATATCAGCGTTCAAGGGGCAGTCTCAATGCCGTACTTGTATTTTTGAATCCTTCGAATCACATTCTGTTCAATGTTCAATTGCATTTTCACGGCTAAGTTTGGTACTTTTATATTGTGATATCATGGTGGGATCATTTGGGAAATCTTATCATCTGTGCTAATTGAGGTAGTTATCTTCTTGCTGTTTTGTTAAGCTGATCTATGATCAACATCTACAATGATTTGGTAACTGATAACATATACCAAGCTCATCTATTATTGTTTTATTATATTTGTAGAGTTTGAATCCACCGGTGCTAGTATTCGTTCAAAACAAGGAACGCGCAAAGGAGCTATATGACGAACTAAAATTGGAAGATTTTCGAGCTGATGTTATCCATTCAGATCTTTCTCAGACACAGGTAATTCTGGCATGGCTTCTATATTTTCTACATCAACGGGTGGTTCATCGCGGAGAGGGGGATGTTTGTTTTAGTCGAAAATCACGCTTTAAGAGGAAGATAATCTTGTGACTGCCCGTAATTATTACATACATTTCAACTAAGCCTGTATCGGTCTATTCGTTCTTTGACCACTGGATTATGGATGGCCAGGATCACAAGAGTGTTATTTTGGTTGCTTTTATGGGTTCCTTGTTTTGAAGATCAAGGTTAAAAACTGGAGTTTAGAGTCTGATGTTGACTCCGGCCAACCAAAGAAGAGAGTTGATTTTGTCCAGAAAGATGGAGATACCTGCTCAGCAATTTACCTACTTAGACGTGACTTCTAATTATTTATGAATGCATTGCTCCAAATAAAAGAACCACCCTTTGATTTAAATATGGTATTTAGTTTATATATTTTTGTGGTCGGTTTTAATTGCAGGATTTTTTGGTATTATTTATTTGATGAAGTTTGATAGAAAAAAAATATATGTGGATTTTTAAGTGCAGGGTTATGGTTTATATTTGCTTTGATTAATTTTGTATCCTGCTGTAGTTGACACTAATTCTGGTTCCTACTCACTTCAATTATAATGCAGAGAGAAAATGCTGTTGATAACTTCAGAGCTGGCAAAACATGGGTTTTAATTGCCACAGATGTTGTCTCCCGGGGTATGGATTTCAAAGGTGTCAACTGCGTAATAAATTATGATTTTCCAGACGCTGCTGCAGCATACATTCACAGAATTGGTAAAGATCTAATCTACATTTCACTTTTACCACTTTATATAGTGATTAATAAATTCATGACTTCCGCAAAACATTTTGCGTGGTCTCACTAGTATGTTGATCATCAATCGTCATAGTCCTACGATGAAGTACAACAGTTTTCACTGTTCACTGAAAACTGCACTGTGTGATTCTTGTAAATAGGACGTACCGGAAGAGCAGGAAGGAGAGGAGAGGCGATTACATTTTATACTGAAGCAGATATTCCTTTTTTGAGGAACATAGCAAATGTTATTACTTCTTCTGGTGGTGAGGTTCCCGAGTGGATCATGTCAATGACCAAGAAAAAGTGGAGGAAACATAGGCCACAAAGAGAAACCATTTCAACTCAGCCAGACATATGAAGCAACCTCCCAGTTCTGACACCATTATATCAAAGCTCCTAATCTTTTTATATAATTTTGATGTATGATTCTTTTTGTAACTTTATGTTAATGTATGAATTTGGATTGGTGTTTCTTGTGACATCTTCAACTTAAATGGTAGAGAAATGAATGTGGTCTTTTTTGACTTAATTGGTGATTGACAGATTGAGCTAGGATTTCTGGTCGACGAAAGTCTCTTTTAGTCCTTGCTCCTCATTAAGTAATGGAGTTCCTTCAAGCTAGTTTGAGTTTTCAACTTCACCTGCAAATAATTTTCAAAACTTGGCTTTTTTTTAAAGGTTTTTCAAGCAAAATTTTTAAAAGAAATTTCCAAGTTTAAATTTTGCAAGTTGTAGTTTGGAAGTATATTCAAGTGAAGTTGTCCAAATCTTAAGCTTCATTCACAAATTTTCAACTTTCGCGACTTATGTTTTACCAAAAATCTTCAATTATTAAAATGTGATTTTAACTTGCATAAACTTTTTTTCCAACTTTAAAATCAAATAATTTGTTTTCAACTTGAACTAAAACTGTTTTACAAACAGCTTAATCTGTGATTGTTTTTCACGTCTTGGGTTAAAAACCATTTGGTGCAACATAAAAACGAGCATTTTTTCCAAGACTCTATAATCCTTGATTCCAGGTTTTTTTTGTGCCAAATTTCACTAGGCGTTGCGCCTAGGGTTAATATATATATATATATATATATATATATATATATATATATATATATATATATATATATATATATATATATATATATAAAATAAAGTACAACAAAGGAGGGGGACATGAACCTTACCTCCAAAAATATGATGGAACGACCAAGTGAATCCTGAAATTTGATGAGTTGGACCTATGATGATGTACCAATTGCCTATTCTTAAGTGAGAGACAATTGTGTATACAAAAACAATGTGAAGTGAATCTAGTTCAACTATACAAAAATGCTCAAATGATCCTGAATCAACTAAACAGATGAGTACAACAAGACCTACATCTAGAGTAAATGTAGATTTTCTCCTATGGAGTATGGCAAAAAACAGTCGAGTGTGCTATAAACTATCTTCAACGTGGCTCTGACATTGAGGCCAAAGAAAGCCAAGTTGAAGATAGCTATCAAACTGACGCATGTAACTAGGCAGAACTGCTGCTGCTGAATGATATTTTCGATAGAAGAGAGTGAGCAAATTCCTGCTTCTTTCATCCAGAATACTTTGGAGCAAACATGTTTAACTGGTGACCTGGAGCTAAGTGAGCTGCTGCATCCTGTAAACTTCTGCTTCTGTGGGCTGACAGGGAAGTGTAGGATAACTAGGTTTGGGCCCCTAGGTGTGACATGCTGATTGCCTGCAGAGGAAGCAGGTTGGTGCTGGTGTCTGAAAGTATCCATTTGAGCAGGAACTTTCTGTTGGTGAGTTGAAGAATAAGGTGCTGGATGTTGGTGGTTAGGTGTTGAGGTCCTGGTTTGTGTAGTAGTATCCTTCTGAGAGCTGCATGTTGGTGTAACAAGCTGTGTAGGTAGGCTGGAAAACCTGAGGGTTCTCTGAAGGATCCTGCCAGAAGTGTTTGTCTGTTGTGACAAATTTGCAGAATCCTAGTGACAGGTCCAAGGTGATTGGTACACTTGCAAGAGATTGATCTGAGATGCTAATACCACACTTTGCAAGTGCATCAATAAATTAAATCTGTCTCTTGTACCTACAAAAAACAACAAACAAGTTATAAATAAAGGGTGCTTGGGCTGGTCAGTGTTCATCTTTGGGGCATTGACAGTAGCGAGCTGCAAGTCTTGTGAGTTGCTGCTCTTTGAACACTGAGTGGAAGTGATGATATATGTGCCCAGGTTCTTGTGGTTTTTGGGGGTATATTTGTTCTGGAGGTACCAGCTGCTAGGATGGATTTCAGGAAGCTGGTATTGGTGAGTTGATGTGAATCCTTTAATTAGGTAGTGGAGTTGATTATGCTTAATCTTGTAGATGCTACTAGCTTTAGTCAATTGGTACACTCTCAAAAGGATGAGAACTATAAGTACTAATACCATACATTGAGGGTATGTCAATTGTTTTAAACTGTAGGTACCTGCAAAAGAGAAACCATGGTTAGAGAAAAAAAGAACATTTCTGTCAGATGGGTGGGCATCCAGGTTCTTGTGTTTACTGGTCCCTGAAGAAATGCTGGTATGGTGGTGGTGTTTTGGTTTTTGGAATCATTGAAAGTGATTTGGATTACTAGATGATAGAAGTTTTGTGATGATGGTGTGGTGTATAACTGGATTCCTGGTTGTTTGGTGTGGGCCTGAGTTGCAGATATGGGTGATGAGGTTGTTTATGGTGTTGCTATTTATGTTTCTTTTGATAGAGGGTAGGGAAGGTATGTGTGTGTGTGTGTGTCCTTAGGAGCTGGTGCTTTTGTTTGTGTTGGTGATGTCTTGGAATCCAAGTGTGCCCATAGAGATGGCACAATATGCCTGCTCCTACCCCCTGATTGATTTCCAGCATAAAGAATACCAAAGGAGTTGATACCACACACTGAAAAGGAAGCAATTGATAGGGTAGGATAACAACGGATTCACCTGCAAAAAAGGAAGAAAGTGTTAGTTGAAACCAGAGTGTCATAGCCTTTTTCCTGAAGAGTTTGAACAAGCTGGTATGGTTGAAATTGCTGCTTTAAAACTTTGGTGTTTGGACTGTATGGTCTGCTCCCAGGTATTTCAGATGTTCAACCATATCCGTTAGAATTGGAGGTGGAAGTGTGATTTGATGAAGGCTGAAGTTTGCTTGTTTTCTTATGTGAAAGTTGGGGTGTTCATTTGGTCAAGTCTGATTTAACCTCTGATTCGCTTGGGAAGGTAAAAAATATTCTCAAAATGGGGAATTTGAGGGAGATCATAGCTGAGCATAGATAAAGAATTAGCAGGACAATTAGCTTCCCTATAAAGATGAGAGCATTTGAATTCATGACACTGGAGCATAGGTCAATCAGTTTCTGCAGTTGCATCTCTAAACTACAAGGGGGCTCATATTCATGGTTGATCTAATGAACAAGTAGTGTAGAGTCAGCTTCTAAATGCACTTTGAAGTGGCATTTCTCCAGGCACCACTTCATGCCAATAATGGCTGCTTCAATTTCTGCCATGTTACTAGTTCCTTCTCCAAATGGACTTGCTATGGCATGGATAAATCTCCCCATATGATCTCTAATAATTGCCCTTGTACCAATTTTGCCTGGATTGTTGAGGGCACTGCCATCACTGTTCAGCTTGGCAAATCCATCCTCAGGTTTGTGCCATGTCACCTGTGATGTGCATATGTGATGTCGTATTGTCTCAACTGTGGAGTAAAGTTCATTCCAATGAAGAGGCTAGTGAAAGGAAGGATAAATGGCTTTGAGGAGAAGGTTGAAGTCAGAGTTGATGGAAAATAGAACTCTGATCATAGATGATTACTTGGAGCTATATTTAGCACTACATCTGTTTTTCCATAGGTTCCAGAAAATGATAATTGGAAGTGTATCCAGGAGATGTTTATGTGCATCATTCCTGCTCTTCTGCATCCACCATTTCATCAAAAGCAATCAAGAGGCATGGCTTGGAAAGGAAAGCCAGTTGGACCTGTGAGTTGCCTCCATATTGCCTTAGCAAAGTGGCCTAAACTGAAAATGTGATCTACTGATTCAGCTTGAGGTTTGATACAACACACATATCTAATGGCAGTGGGTTGACCAAAGGAAATGACCCTATCATCAGTGGGCAATTTGTTTCTGAAGGCTCTCCAGATGCAAAAGGACCATTTAAAGGGGATTCTCTTGTGCCATGTTATCTTGTTGGTGAAGAGGATCTGTTTCTTCTTTCTAACTATTTCCCATGCTGAAGCACAAGTGAATTTACCAGAGGTAGTTGGTACCCATATAGGTTTATCAGGGGTGTGAGGAGAAAAATAGATTGGGATCTGAATGATATCGGGGATTTTGTGGACTGGGGCTTGGTTGTAGAGCTTGAAGATCCCATTTTCCAGAATCCCAGAATTAAGAGACAGTGATGTTGCTTGGCCTTCCTCCCTCAATTCTGTAGCTAGCTAAAGGACCTTTTCCTAACCAATTATCCCACCAAATACTTGCATTGCTTGAATATAACCTCCAATTTATGTGTGCTTCTGCTTCTTTTTTGTTACACATCATTTTCTTCCAAGTTTGTGATTGGCCAGAGTGCAATTTCTTTGAGATTGGGTGTGATCTTTTGAAGTTTTGGCTAGCAAGAAGGTGCTCCATAAAGACTGTTTTGTTCTAAAAATCCACCATTTTTCGAATTCCATAGCCTTACAAACCTCAACCACAGTTCTAAAACCAACACCCCCTTCTTCCAACACCCTCAGCCACATCATTTTCTTCCAAGTTTGTGATTGGCCAGAGTGCCATTTCTTTGAGATTGGGTGTGATCTTTTGAAGTATTTGGCTAGCAAGAAGGTTCTCCATAAAGACTGTTTTGTTCTAAAAATCCACCATTTTTTGAATTCCATAGCCTTACAAACCTCAGCCACAGTTCTAAAACCAACACCCCCTTCCTCTTGTGGATATGATAGCTTCTCCCAAGAAGCCCAATGGTATTTGTTTTTATCCTTCTACATGCCCTAGAAAAAATTAGTAGCCAGTCTTTCCAACTGTTTCATGATAGTTTTGGGTGGTGAAACAGCTGATAGCAGGTGAATGGGGAGGGATTGCAGCACATATTTGATCGAAGTAGATCTTCCTCCATAAGAAAACATTTTGCTGTGCCATCCTCTGATTCTGCTCACTATTTTGGATACCAATCCATTGAAGTGTAGAATTCTTTTTCTTCCAATGTAGAGGGGGCAACCAAGGTATGTGATTGGTGATTCTTTCCTAGTAAAACCAATGATTTGAGATATCCTAGAAACAATGTAGTGGAAAACACAAGTGGGAGTCATGAAATGGCTCTTAGCCTTGTTTATCAACTGGCCAGAAGTATTTTCATAATCCCCTAAAATTCTCAGTCTTCTGTAAGAATACCCTGCCGTGTGATGTGAATATGATAATATCATTTGCAAAGCTCAAATGGTTGACTTGAGGACCCCTTTTTTCCATGTAAAAACCATTGAAGAGCTGGTCATTATTGAGATTGTTGAGCATTC